ACTGCAAGACAAATTCAGAGCTAAAAAGATATGGCAGCCCTCCACACTGTAGTCTGATTGCATTAGACTGAGCACAGCACAAGAAATAAATATTTAGACAGGGTAGATGGCACCCTGAACATATCAAAGTGTCAGTTCTGATCTCCGACAAGTGAAAAGCACCCTCCTCTTCCTGCGCTCACGTGAAGCTCACCACCTCTTGCTGTCTCATCCAGATGGTGTGCGGGCAGCGCTCTTCTGCTTCGTTCCTAGACAGCTAAAAACCACAGCCAATCTGCCATTTTATTTCTGTCTCTCTGCACTGGCTCATCTATCACTGCCAGTGCATCTACTGCAGTACATGCTCCTTCTCTGCTGCTGTTTACAATTAAAAAGGAAAGGGAAAAAAAAAATCTCCAAGCCCTAAATTACAATTGAGCTTCAGCTGCACAGTAGGTAATTAAGAAATTTGGGAGCTTGCAACTTCCCAGGAGGTAGTGGACTTAATTAAAACTAAAGCAGTTCATTTGAAGACGGTGGTGTGACCCTCTTTCTGCCAGACTTTAGGCCCATGGAAACCCCTCACTGGTAGCTATGTAAGCTCCGAGTATTAGGATAAATGTTTTCATATGTAAATTGAGCAAGCATTCCTCAGTGCCCTGCCTACAGAGCTGCTTTATTGCTTCTCCCCTATAGTTGTGCCCAGCAAACAACAAAAGGCAACCTGTGTTTATAGGGCACCCGCCTGACATTCAAGAAATCTGCACTCAAAATACTCAGCTGTGCCAAATGTCAGCAATGTGACGTGGGCAGGTCAAACACTGCTCTGTCTCATGATTCCCTCATCAGGAAAAATGGAAACAATTTGTACAACTCTCCCACTTAACCTATATAAAACCATAAACTTTTCAGAACCAGGATGGGCTCTAATTACACAGAAGCACAGCAGCAAACGAGGCAGGCACCCTCTCCTCTTTGTCAGTGCCATCTCACACAATGGAAAGAACAAATAAAAAACACTGGACCAGATGCTCCATCCTCTCCCTCCTGCTTCTCGGGTTGTCATAAAACCAATTCACACTGGGTACGTCTGGTCAGTGCAACATGCAGTCCCAGCCCTGACTGGGCTCGGCGGCCAGCAGCTGCTTTACGGTGCGTTGGACAGCGGCACGGGGGCTTTGCCGAGCGGGATGCGGGGAACGGTGGTCGCCTCTGTGCCGCGGCTTTGGACCCAATTACAGCTGCCGACAGCAGAACGAGGGAAGAAGAAGTTAAGCTGCAATTTGTGACAGCAGAGCTTCTGCTGGATTCAAACTAATTGCCCACCATTAGCTGTAATTGGTGCACATTCTCCAATGCAGGCAAAGCTTGTATTTGTTTTAAAAAGAGAAGCATTCATAGCTACAAGGGGTGAAGCAACCACAAGCACATTCCCTACTGTAAGGTTAGTCAGGGCAAGCACAGTGTCCTCAAGGATGCTACTTCAGTGCCTACGTTCGTCCTCTGCTCACCCTGCGGAGGGCTTCACCACTCACAGCAGAAGATGAAGTGTTAAGTTGGACCTCTTAAAAATATCACCTGTGATAGGGAACCAAACAGGTAAAGAGCTAAACATATTGTCCAGCAATGCAGGTGAAGCCCAGAGCACTTTAAGGCAGTAGATTGCCTAGGAAAGCATCAGAGAAAGATGGCCAAGTGACCAGATGATGTCTTGTGCTATGGGGTGTATTAAGAAGATGCATTCAAAAAAAAAAAATCACAAGCTGTAAAAGGAGGCTAATGAGGCACGTGGGTAAGGATTTTCATGAGGCATCCTGCCTGCTTGAACATGACACAGCCTGAAATGGAAGTTGACAGCACAAAGGGAGGAAAAATGATCACAGTGACACAACCTGAGGTTGTGGCTGCCCAGCTCCTGTTCTGACATCTGAAAAAGCACTGGCCCACAACAGTGAACCAAGACAACTTAATTGCTATTTCAAGATAATTACTATCGGTTGGCTGTTCTTCCTTCAATACACATTAGCCTATCTGAGCTGTTTAAGTTCCCATTTGCAGTCTCCCAGGCTCCCTAGCGCAGCCCCGTTACAGCTTAGCTAGAACAGGGTCATCTCAAAAACCACAGCAAAACAACAGGATCAGCCAGTGCCAAAAAAAGTGGGATGAAATACCCAGCATCCATAATAAATTCTTCTATGCAGCTTTTGACCGTCACTCAACTTTCCTGGCAACTGTTCCAAGTGTTCTCACAGCTCAGCTATTGCTATGCAAGAGGCCAAGGCTCTATGGTGGAAAGCAGAAAAGATTACTATCCTCTTTTCCAATGATTGTAAAGTTTAACTTGAGTGCTCCAAGCATCAGGAAATAAAAAAAATAAAACCCACCACAACACCAACATGATTTGGAATGCAAAGGAAAATCGTAGCAGAAGCACAGTCTTCTAAATTAACAACGTTGGCTTTTTGCATCTTGTAGAATTAACTGCAGTAACCTATCAGTTCATGTCCATTGCCAGTAGCAGCAGCATGACACTGACAGCATAGTATTTGCCTTTCCGGGAAAGGTCACTGTTTTGGGTAGCTCAGTACATTCTGTCCTCCAGGACATGGGGTGTTCGCTTCCCTGACCCATATAACCTCTTTTAGGTATTTTGGAGATGGGCAGAAAGGCTAGATGGATTCTTTGGTTTGACCTACTACTGCTGTTCTTACTCCAGACAACTCAACCACAGCAAATTGGCACCACCAGCAGACACCCGAGTGACAAGGGGTCTCCAGACAGTCATTACTTGAGGGGTGCAGCCTCTCTGTACCAGTGCAGAAGTCAGTCAGCTAAGTTCTCGCTAGGAAAATAGGAAAGTTGCCTTCTCTTTGCCAACAAATTACAACTAATTGCTCAAGTTGTCAGGAATAGAGACAGATTCTATATACCCATTTTAAATATCTTAAATACACAAGAACGTATAGGATGTTGTGCATAAACCCATAACACAATAGTGGAAGAAACTGAAAGAAAAAAAGGCTAATTTATACTAATAAAAATCATTCACACTAAGCAGGTAGTTACCAATTGCTCTGTTTAAAAACCTCCTATTAAATGCGGTAATTTTTCATTTGAAGTGTTTTGATTATGACTATGTGCACTGGCACCTGAATTTCTGCAAAGATGAAACCATTGATTTTGTCAGTGTCTGGAAGAGAAAAAAAAAACAAACAAAACACCTTAGGTTTTCTTTCTTTCAGTCTGTTCCTACTCAACCAAGCACTTCACAAGTGTTTCAGAGCACTGAAGTCCTCTTCAGTCTTAATTAGGCCATTTATTCCGTGAAGTTCCCAAGATTTTTGGTGAGAACACTTTTCCTGCATTGCGTTCTGCTTTCGAAGGGTTGCACAACACGGACACCATCTGCGAAAATCTTCGAGCGGTCCTGCGAGCCACAGCATGTGACATGACGCCACTTCCTAGCAAGGACAGTTCGATCCCACATTTTCACGTGCTTAACTCAAGTAGGGTGTTTTCATGCTATGTATTCCCTTACCAGCTGAGGTTGGAACAAGCCCAAATCACAAAGTAAGTTGTCTCACAAGGCCACGTCTTCCATGTCAGTCTCAAAGCAGTTCATGTAAAGCAAATTTGACAAAATTAAAATGGGAAATCTGAAACTCATCCCCCCCAGATACATCACGGATGCAAGGAACATTCAAGGACAAATTTCTGACAAAACAGTGCAGTTCTGCCTGGTGTTTGGCTGTAGATTTCAATAGTTTCCAGCAGAACTGCTGCTGGGCTGCTGGAGCAGGAGATTTCAAAGTTACGAAGCCAGAGGGAATCCTGGATGAGTACCTGAACAGAGGGCAAGGATTTACTTCTTGCCTAAGGCCCACTTGAGCCCTCCAGCTCCAGCTGCCTTGTTCGTCCAGCTATTTGCCTCCCTCTGAGGCACTAGAGTCAGTGTGTATCCCTATGGGGCTACTAGCATATCAAAGAGGAAGAGACAAATTACTAACTAGCGTTAATCCTCCTTACCTGCTTACAGTTAGGAGAGAGATTGCTTTAGAGAGATAAAAAGAGTTGCTTTAAGCCCAGCTATGACTGAGACCCGGTGCCTCCGACTTGGTCTTGATGATCAAAATCCCTAAAATGTAAGGACAGACTAGCAAGACAGAAATGCAAAATGGTCAGGGGCTCATTTACAAGGACACTTACTTCAAATCACCGGTGGCCCCAATTAGCCCGCAGGCTGAGGAAATGTCTTCAGAGAGCAGATTTTTTTTTTATCACCATCTCCAAAGGAGTACGAATAAAAGAGTTCAGGGTATTTTGGCCACAGTGGGAGCATCAAGTCAAATGTGAAATAAGCAAGGAAGGCAAGCAGATCGCTTACTTCCCCCGAGAGAAAATAATGCATGCTGACAGCCTGATAAAACTGCTAAAATCTGATCCTACTAGCCACATGGCAGAGCCAAACAAATCCAATGCAAATCTCTTCAGGGTTTCCCACAGCTGTACAATAGGCAAAGCAACATCAGGTGAGGATTAAATGAAGAAATTAACTCTCTGACACCGTAGGAGCTGAACGCTTTAACATTTTGGAAGTCTTTGAAACATATTTCCTCACCCAGGTCTTCAAAGCCAAAAATCCCTCCCTAAGAAGTGAGCTCTAAAATACCACACATGAATTCACTGACTGGAGAAAATCACGGTGAGGTCACCGTAAAACATGAAGATGCAGCTTTGCAGAGGGAGGCGTTTCACTGACCGGACTGAGCTTGCCCATGGTGCCACCTTTGTGGTGATGAGCACGGTGGCACATCAGAAAAGATCTTTACAGCCCACTCGAGCAGAGATGGAGCTCATCCTCCTTGGTAACTTGTCCTCTGCAGAAACAATATTCCTACCCTGGTTCAGATTTTGACACTTACAGAAAGTCTTAGAGGGAGGTTGCCCACCCCTGCCAACCACACTCAGTATTTGTTTGCCCTGTTAAGGCACTTAGGTTTGGGCTCTATCTGCACCCTTACCGCTGGCCAAGACACAGGTGCCAGCTGCATGCTGGTCCACAGGCCCCATCTGGACAATGCCGCAGGTCTGAACCACCTCAGCCCACGGACACATGCCCGAGGCGAAGGCATCTATGCTGAAACCCATGGTAGCAGCCTGCTCGCTTGTGCTGGGAGAGGACACGGCTGCACCACCTCCCCACCCACCCAGGAGCTGCCAACACAGACGGCACGTTTCATGGTTCAGTTTTACTGCTCAGCAGGCGTAGGTGATAATTTTTGGCATCCCCCTTCATCTAAACCTCACCATACACAGCTTGCTCCCGTGCTGTTGCTCTCCCAACTTTCCTGCTTTACAGTCAACTCATTACCTGCTTTCATAAAATCAATAGCAGGATTTCACAGTGTATTGGGTCTGGCTGAGATGGAGTTAATTTCCCCCAGAGCAGCCCTCATAGTGCTGTGCTGTGTACTAGTGTTGGGCTAGAAAGGTGCTGACAACACACCAGTGCTTTGGCTAGTGCTGAGCAGTGCTGGCACAGAATCAAGGCCATCTCTCCAACACTCCTCCCTCACCCGTAGGCTGTGGGTAGAGAAGATCTTGGGATGGGACAGAGCCTGGGCAGCTGACTCAAACTGACCAAAGGGGTAGGCCATACCACATGACTTCTGCTCAGCAATAAAAGCTACGAGAAAGGGGGAGAAGGAACTCATTATTACAACATTTGTCTTCCAGAGCAACCGCTACACATACTGAAGCCCTGCTTCCCGGGAAGTGGCTGGACATCGCCGGCTGATAGGAAGCAGAGAATAAATCTTTTGTTTTCCTTTACTTCTGCACGCAACCTTTGCTTTTGCTTTATCAAACTGGCTTTATCTTGACCCACAAGTTTTTTGCATCTTATTTTCTCCCCCTTCTCCATCCTGCCAAGAAGTGGAGTGATGGAGCAGCTTGGTGGGCACCTGCTGTCCAGCCAAGGTCAAGCCACCACACAGATGCCAGCACCGGGTATTCAGCAGAAAAACCTTGCTCTTTCTGCAAGACTGAGGAGACATGAGATTCCCATTTTGGACCTGTGCTAACCACAGCGAGGGAGGGAACACAAGTTTGCCACATCTCAGGGACACTGAACCTGAGCCACGTGTGCAGGATGGATGAGGCAGGGCAGGACAGTCCATGGGACACCAGCAACCTCTGCAGAAACAGTCCTGTCCCCCTAGCACAGCTCAGAGGCACTGACCACTGTGTGAGCATTTGCAGGGTGTCCAGGATCCACAAAATCCATCCATGCATCAGACACCCAAATGCTGAGGGCAAGTTCTGCCTGCAATGTTCGGCAAATTGCCCAGACTCTGTGCCTCTGGCTTTTGGTTCGCCTGACTAGTCCACAATGTGTTTGGGATGATCATCTCCTCCTGCGCAAGGAGCTCACATCTCAGGGTGCTTATGTGTTATTTTTAAAATAGGTAAAAAAATCATACTTTGAATTCTATGCATTTATCTTACCAGATTCCCAAAACCTACCCTTGACTTGCTAAGCTGGCAGCTATGCAAACGCCACAGTGCAGTCACTCCTGACCATCAGTAGCCATTTGCAGGGCTTGGATCTGCAATGATGAAGAAACCCAGCCACGAACTTTCAGATTCCTGCTCTAAAAGGAGCAGCAAGTATTTATTAAATTTCTAGCACAGTCCCCTGCAGCAAGTACACTCTGTCAGAAAGAAATCCTTGCAATGGAAGTCGCGCACTTGCTCTGTTGAAATCTGTGCTGTGAATGTGACACAGGCTCAATTTTCAAGGAACCAAACCGGTTGTGAAGGCTGAAAGCCAGGGCCTGCAGCTCAGCTGGAAGGGCTAGAGCTGAAGCACTCAGATGAGGAAGCCCATATGCATCCGAGGTTTCCTAGTCAGACTGCTGGGCAAACTGGACACCACCACCTTCTGCACAAGCTGCCAGGGGAGGCTGTGTACTTGGCCAGCTCCTCAGCACAAGCAAAATGGCACCGGCTGGGCAAGAAGCAAGGAAATACAATTTAAAATGGATTTTTCCCTTCACTGCCCCGAGCACCCTAGCAGCCATGCCCACCCCATCCCCAGGTCCAGTGATGGGGTATATGCTCAGGCCTCTCCCTCTCAGCTGGCCTTGGTATAAGGTATAAACAGGAGCATCCTCCTTTTGGGCAGACACAAAGCTGAAGGACAGGGCAAGAAAAAACCTGCCAGAGCTCTTTCTAGCATGTTCCATTGAATCCTTCCCACTTCACCTCGCCTCCCTAAAAATCCAGACTGCCTTTTAATCCACATGCCCAGTGTTCTGTGGCAACAAAGCACACAACTAATAAAAAAAAAGTTTCAATTAACTTTTTATGACTTCTTGAAAACCATCTGTGTAATTTTGCAGCATTTCCTTTTAATCCCACTGACAGAATTATGTTCATCTGCCTGAAACACCGCATTTGTTGTGACTATCACAAGACCTCATTTGGTGGACGTCACGGGCCATTACCTATTTTTAATAGCAGGCCAACGTCTCTCCAGTTTGCATGTGCTGCAGCAGACGGTGCTTTCCTGCAACAGTTAGGAGCAGTCCCAGCCCCACGGCTGTCCCACAGCCCCTCCTTGTCACCGCCGAGCAGCAGAAAATAAGGAGGTTTTGCTTCTACAGCTGGGTACAGGTGTTTTCCTGTCTCCCCATTGCCTTGTTCCTTTGGGCAGCTGTTTATGGTCATGCAAATGGAGTTTTCAGCATTTTACACCCACTTTTGACAAATGCTGAGGAGCGCACTGGAACCACGGCAGTCTGGCCCATATCTGAATACATTTGGGGCCTGCTAATGCTCACCAACATCCCGTGGGACAGGACAAGACCACGGGAAGGAGTTGCAAGCAAGGAGCTTGCAAGCTCATAGCCACTAGCGGGGCAACCCCCTCAGCCCTTTCCCATGTGTCCTAGCACAGGGTCTCGTTGTCCTCCGTTGCCCTGCTCCAACAAGCCAGGTCATCCCTCTTCCCCTTCTCCCTGCTCTGCCTTTCCCTTCTGTTTACCAACCACACAAGTGCTCCAAGGCTGTATTTGCACAGCCCTCGGCACTATGTGTCCCTGTAGTGCAAGTAATCTCATCATAAAAGTTGGAGAACGGGGCTGCCTCCGCTCCCCTTCAGCTCTCCTACTAAAAAGGCTTCACCTCCTGATTTAGCAGGGCTATCTTTAAGGGGCTGGTTTTAATTTTACAGTCTTCTAGTGGGTTTTTAGTCTTTACAAGAGATTAAGAGCAAGACAATAGTTTTGAAACCATATTAGTGGAGCAATTGCACAGAACTGGTCCACCCGCTACTCCAGGAGGCAGGTTTTGAGCACCATTAAATGACAGGGATGGCAAAAGCACCACTGCTAAAAATCCAACCATCAGCCAACAGGAGTTAAAAGGCTGGTGTGGGCTTCAGCAGGTTATGCCTGTCTACAGGCTCCCAGCATCTCCTCCGAGCATGCCTGACATCCTCTGATCAGCCTCACGGTATCTCTCTATCTGCCTGTCAGAGTAAATATCAGGATGATTTTTTCAAGTGTCTGTCTCCCCCGTCTGCATCATCACTCAAGAGGCTTATCCACCAACAATTAGGTAGTAGCTGTTGCAGTGTGTAAATCTTTGAAATGAAGATTTCTTGGGAAAGTGAGGGGTTGGATTTTTTTTTTTCCTTTCTACAAATCCAAATGCTGTCAGAATGGCATGTCATAAAAATCAGTGATAAAAAATTCATAACAACCCCTCCAGGCTAGAAGAGCGGCTGCTTATTGTATTTACTAAGCCACTGTCTGGGAGCCTGAAGCCTGATTTCACACCAATCCACTCATTAAACATCTAGATCAACACTGTACAGATTAGGGTGGAATGCAAACAGCAACACTGGATCTGCCTGCAGAGATCACGGCAGGAAGGAAACCAAAGCCCTATGTGTTTTTTCTTAAAAGCCACCCTTTCAGCAGTACCAATAAGCACCTCGCTCCTCTTTGCTGCGTTCTCCCTCATCTGCTCTGCTCTGCCAGATTTTGCTGGCTCAGTCCCCTCTGCTGAAGGATCAACAGCCCGAACCGAAGCCTGCAGGTGACAGTATCGAAGCCAGGCAAGGACACTGCTGTGTGGTACGTGACACTGATTTTTCATGAATTCAGAGTCTCATTCATTCCATGATGCTCTCACAGGAGAGACTACAACATACTATTTACTGATGGTTAAGCTATTTCTCTTGCTAAAGAGGAAGGACTCCTCACTGAAAGATGAGGACTGCATGGTTTCCCCTGTGTATGTTTTCTCCATCTTAATGAGCTTACACAGGAAAGGTTAAAGCTAATATCAGACATACCAATTGCTTAAAATCATGATCTG